TACATCTCACCCTTTGAGATTGTTCTTTTTTCCTTTGAGGCAGTGTTTTTTTAAGTGGCCCAGGTCAGCCTTGAATCTGTGATCCTCCTGCCTCAGTTTCTGAGTAGCTGGGATTAATATACCCGTATCACCATAGCTGGCTACACATATAATTTTTATGTATACCAGCAGAAAAGGTAGTGAAGTGGCTGAGGAATTTAGAGATTTTGAATCTCTACAAATAAGAAATCAAAATTACCTATTAAAACTAAATACTAATCAGAAAAACTTTATTTTGAATGATCAAGTGATCAGGTATGTAGGCTCCAGAAATATGTTACAGGGTATTTTCAAACCTTTTATGTTAAACATTTGAATAAAATTATGAATAGAACTTGCTTGGAATATGTCTCATTTAAAAGACAGGGCTGGGGGCACAGCTCAGTAGTAAATCACTTGCCCAGCACGTGTGAAGTTCTGGCTCTGAAGTTCAGCACCACGAATGGAAAAAAGTTACCAAAGGGTGTGCTTTCCGACATTACTGAGGAAGGCCAGTCTTCTTCCTGGACCTCTAGTCAGTGAGTGAGTGAGTGTGTGTGTGTGTGAGTATGTCCTGGTGGTGGGGAACTAAGGATAAAACTCAAAGTTGCTCTACCACCGAGCTACACTTTAGCCCTGTCTTTTATTTAATTTGAGTCAGGGTCTTCCTAAATTGCCCAGCTGGATTTGAACTTGCAACCTTTCTGCCTCAGCCTTCCAAGGAGCTGGTATTATAGGGATCACCACTGCACCCAGCTCTATCTTGTTTTTTAAACCTATATTCTTCACAAGTCCTTAACTTCCCCTTAAGAACTCTATTTCCACGTTTATGCTTGGTTGCTAGAACTCCATGGAAAGCTACCGTCTTAAGTTTCAGATTGTCGGCGGCGGACTCGTTAAAGGAGACACCCTTCAGGAAGTGCGATCCTATCTGCACAGGGACGGTGGGAAGCTCACACTGCATGGGCTGCGGGGGTGTCTGCCTCCGCCCTGTCTGCTGGGCTTCCGCCTCGCTGCAGCAGCCCTGGAAAACAATTGGGTAGGAGACAGGTGACCCACAGCTCAATTGTCAAAACATCTGGTTCATGCTATATGAGGCAAACATCTTCAAAATCTCCCCAAGAGATACCAAACAGAAAAGTATACCTGCAAACTTGCTTCAATCGCCTTTGGATTCAGGTGGAAGCCAGCCTTCATTGCATATTCACAGTGGCCCAAACTTTCCAGAGCTATCTTATATGCCTGCAAATAAATTATTTTCAAGAACCAAGATTATACAGCAGATCTGAATATGATAAAATCCAATGAAAATAGGAATTTTAAATTCCTACAGTTATTGAAATTCTCCAACTGTTACTTTATTATTCATTCTAATTGGTTCAACATCCCAACTTTAATTCCTTCCCTCATTTGTATCACTTGAACATCAATATGCCAATTTTGAAAAACTTACTTGCAAAGCACTATCGATTTTTACGTTCAGTTCTTTTAGCTGGTGCTCAGGAATTGCTGCACTTTGAGAGCAGAAGAGCTGCTGAACTTCAATTCCTGCCAGGCAGCCATCACAGCCTCTTTCTCTTAGTCTAGATGTTGCCTACAACATAAGTAATGACTGATAAATACATGGGATGCTATAGTTACTAGCAAAGTTAAAACAACAACAACCCAACAACTAAAGCAAAGCATAAAGCCTGGGTTATACTGCAAGTTTGAGGTTAACCTGTACAACATAGCACCTGCTTGCCAATCACAAGGTCCTGAGCTCAATTCCCGGTACAAAAAAAAAAGAAAATGTGGAAGGAAGGAGGGGGCTGAAGGGAGGGTAGGGGGATAGGGTTAAAAAAAAAGTTATATCATGTAAAGGTACAAATTTTCTATGATGAATATATATCTAAAATGTACCAATAAAATCTAGTTTAAAAAAATAAAACTACCTTTTTTTTTAGTTTTGCTATGTTGTCCAGGTTAACTTCAAACTTGCTATATAACCCAGGTTGGTCTTGAACTTAAGATTCTCCTCCCTCACACCACAGCTGGTCTCTCTTTCCCGAATGAAGTAAATGTAATGAGGCAAGCCAGCCTCCAAAATCAGATGGCATCAGACATTCTAACAGCAGCACAAGGGGGTACGTGTGCAATTATAAAAGTCGAATGTTGCATGTACACTCCTAATCCTTCTGCTAATATCTCAATAGCTGTTCAAGATATTAGACAACAGGTTAATGTCATGTCAGATTCTGAAATTCCCTGGACTTCCTCCTTATCCTCTTTGTGGAAAGCATTACTAGCTTCTCCTGGTGGAAACCTTTGTTGGCTATAGTCATAATTATCCTATTGATTTTAATATCTGACCCATGCATAGTTGTTTCTTTGGCCTCATGTCCTCCAGACTTAAAGCTGTACGTCTACCAAAGACAAGAATACCTGGCTGGGTGTGGTGGTGCACACCTGTAATCCCAGCACTTGGGAGGCTGAGACAGGAGGATTGTTGCAAGTTTGAGACCAGCCTGGGCTACAAAGTGAGCTCAAGGGCAGCATGAACTGCATAGTGAGAC